TGATATTTTCTACATCAATGTTTCTGAAAGCGATGCTCCTTTTTATTTGTATACAAGAGAGCAAGAGATTATTATAACAATAGTAATGCCGATTGCACTTGCACTAGGTATCGTTCTCAACAGTGCTTTCTTGTTCGTGATTGCGCGTGTACCGTATATGAGAACTATTACAAACTATTACTTAGTTAACTTGTGTATAGCAGACATACTCTACATATCGTTTGCTGTTTCGGATAAGTTACTGCGTTACGAGACGTCGGCGGTTGCGATTGATCAAAGTATTCATGGTGAAATTGGTTGTATTGTATTTTATGGAATCATGGACATCGCTTACTTCGTATCACTATTCACGGTTGTGTTGTACACTGTGGAGAGGTTTGTCGCAATCACGTTTCCATTCAGAGCACAGATGATGAGCAGTAAGAAAAGAACTTTAATATTGATTGCGATCACCTGGTTAACTGCCATCGTGTTTGCAATTCCCTCAATGGTTGGTAACTCTGAAAGACATGTCATGCATTTTATCTGGCCGCCGGGCTACGACAGTTTTCCCGAGGTCGTCGAGACATGTTACACCACCAACGGTGACCTGGCGTACTTAGCTGTCGGTATCAACGTTATACCGTTTTGTCTGTCACTGGTGATAGTAGTTATTCTCAACGCCATCATATGCATCAAGATTTTACGTGAGAATAAAATTGGTGAGTCGGCTCGGTCTAAAAGCAGTTTAACCGCTCGTAACCAAGTCGTACGTATGTTGTTCGTCACAAGCATACTGTTCTTCATACTACTCTTTCCGTTTGAATTTGCATCTATATCCCCGCTCTTTGACCCGGACCCAGCCGGTACAGGGGCAATCCCTGTAGAAATATTTGGAGCCTGGATTCAATACTCACGAGTTCTTTCCTATATCAACTCAGTCATCAACCCTATAATATACAATGCCATGAGTGCCAGGTATAGAAGAGCTTTCATCAGGGCGTTTTTTTGTCGTGAAGCTGGAAAAACAGAAAAAAAGAGCACATCTTACACAACAAGGACAACAACCGCTGATTCAAGTGTACTCTATACGCAAATAAGTCTAAATAAGTCTAAATAGGTTAGAGTTGGCAATGTCATTCCAATTGAACCAGTCTCTTGCGATAGTACCAAGTTCAACACAGAAGACACTATAATCACTAATTACCATAACAATGAAATCAAGGTCAATGTCACATAAACATCCACCAGAAATCAAGAAACAGTGAAAGAACGTAACCAAATATTGTCGACCATCGTCCAAAGAAGTACGATATTCTTACTGGAGTCATCTGAACATCATTAACAAAAATGTGTCATCTGTACTTTAAATGAAAAGATTTATATATAAAACCTTCCCGAACAAATCATTTACTGAGATAATATACCAAATTACTTTATGCAACAAATATATGTATTTCCTAATACAGTTATGATTTGCTCATAGGTTATGTAACCGTCTACAAATTGGTGTATACTGACACATATGCGTATGTATCTGTAACATTCTCAAGTTAACAAAATGTTTGATTAATTACTATTATTATTCGGTAATGCATTCAATGCACTTGATTCAATATCAAAATCATACTTTAATAATAAATTAAAACAAATCTTTTCATCTGAGGAAAATGAGCTGCAACGCTAACATCTGCCGATATTACCGTCTATTTTGTAATAATATTTTATAACAACTGGATATCGCGTTTATCGACCCTTTAATAAATAATTGTTCAGAATCATTTGACTAATAAATTCGGAGGTTTGTATAAAACATTTTAAATTGTTTGTTTGTATTAGAGTAAAATGCAATTTATTATTTAAGGAATTATCATACCGGTTAGGTTGTTTAAAGATATAAATTTGGAAATTAAAAAAAAAACATATACAAGCTAAATTTACTCATATCTTCGTAATACCATTCTTGTACTTAAATGTGTTTCTTACGTGATTAAACTTGTATCAAACTGTCATATGGCTTCTTAATGTACGAGGTTATTATTGCCTGGTGTTTTCCGTAGTCTGACAATTTTCCGTGTTCATCTTCTTTATGAACTGCGTTAAGAACTTGTATAAAAATAATGAAACATGTACATTAAATGGTACTCTCTCGGATGTATTAATTTCATGAAAGTACTTTCAATTTTCAGTAATAGTTTTGCTCATGTGTGATCGAATTAATATTTTGGCTTCTTTCCTGAGTCGGCTGGACAGATTATAACATCTATAAAAGGGGTTACGTTTGTATTTGTTTTCTTAATTACTGTATCCTGCATATATTCATAGATACTATATATCGAAATACATAGACACAAATCATCAGCATGTTGAAAGAAAATGCTTGAATTGTCTCTCAATCAATCAATTAACTATAATCAACTATTCTGGGTTTAAACAAATTATGTACATTTCCTCCTTATAAAACACTTGAGGCAACTTTACGCTTACTCAAATTTTAAGCTTCACTAATGTTTCCGTGTGAAAACGAATCTATATATTAAGTCACACGTGTGAGGGGGTGTCAGGACGGCCCTAATTTTAACTTTATGACAGAACGGTCGAAATCTAAACTAGCTAAATCTTGTTTATTCAACAATAAAATTGTGAAATGTGAAACAGGCTATAATTTCAACATAGTTACATTGTATATTAGTTCATGAAGAAAACAATGCATATTTCAGATATTCCAACACTTGGAAATAACGACAATAAAAGAAATCGCTATTGAAACAGCCGTGAACTTAATAGATGCTAATCTACGAGCATTTGATGGATTCTCTATAATAATGTTTATCTAGGCTTACAGCAATGAAAGATTCGACCGATAATGATTGTAAGGGGTGATATGTACCTGTATGTATTATACCTTGTCAATATGTAACTGTAACTTGTATACAGAATCATAAATAAAGATCCGACTTTTTCTGTTTACAGAGATGGTATTTAGGTTCGGATGTTGGCGTATGTATCAAACGTTCAAATTATGAATGATTGCCTTATCCGGCTAATACCTTGACATACTCACATGGACCTGTGTTCATTTTGCGAAACAATTTCAATATGTCCAATACTATAAAAAAAAGTCTTTTATATCATCTGTCTTACAGTTAAACACACTTGTTGTGAAGACAAAGAATGAATATTGTATTCTATCATTGTGTAACGCCATGAATATTACACGAACACATGGTGGATGAGTTCAATGCAATATTCCAGTGTTTTTGTTTTCTGGACTCCACACACTAAAATTACATAACGCAATGTAACCAGTAGAAAATAAAAAAAAACTGTGTATAATAAATAAATACCACAAATCAGTACATCTCATGAGCCATATCATGACTACAATAGCTACATAAATATACATAACATCTCAGAGGCACATTACCATTCAGTGCTATGCCAAATAGGCCGCCAATATTGTCAACAATATAAACAAGGTATTTATATGCTGTAAACAACATCAGAATAACAATAAGGTAATTAACCTCACTGAAACATATATTTTATGGTTCACAATGGTTAACAATACTATAAAAATGTAAACAAAGTGAAACAAGTAAACTTTTCTGTAAATAATCCTCATAAAGTACACAATTAAAACATACTCTGGCTCAGTCTGGACAACCGCCACTGATAAATAGCTTCAATAATAGTTCGGTTTGAGCTAACAGTCAATGCTTACCAGTGACATTTGCATCAAAGTGAATTATGAATGGCTAGGATTAACTGAGATAAAAAGAAGAAACATCGACGAACCTAGCAGAATGCAAAATTCAAGATGGACGGATGCTGGAGCATAAAGGGGAAATTGTTCTCCAATAAAATATAGTATTAAATCCAAGCATTACATTATCAAAGATAATAAAACGACAACAATAGAGCACTTCACAATGTCAGAAAAAACAATTCACAGACAAATCTCAAAATTACCAAAAATCGTCTCAAGAGAGCGCTGTGATAAATTTCATGTCACACAATTGTGTGTGTCTATCAAATTTATATTTAGTATGTCGGTTACTGAAAAGTCGGACCGTTTTATTTGCTGGTGGAATTGAAATTTAGAAAGACAAATCCAATATCAAAATCCAACTATTCATTCCTCCGTATATTACTAAACGCGTTGTTCTTTCATTGCATAGTGTGATGAAACCTCAATGCGAATAGTAGTGTACAGAGAAACGGTGTGCCTCGGTGGCATATCGGGATTTGTGTTAAGAGGATTTTGCAACATGGCTGAAAACACAATGTTTGTGGTAAAAATTCATTTTACGTTGTAGCATACTTATTTTGAGAGACGTGACAACAATTTTGATTATAGCTTGACGCAAATAACATTAAAAGCAACTTTTTTTCAGCTGAAAACACCACCTTTAATCGTTTACGTGGTGCACTGTTTTCCGTCCGAGGGCGGTCAGGATATAGGTTTCCCGGTCAATTTGACTAACTACAAGCTTATCTGTGCCGTTATCTATTATCAATAATATGCAAAATAGTAAACATATGAACCATTAATAGTATTACTAATGTCAATCTTTGAACTTCCATCGTCACCATCAATATTGATCAGCCATTTGAAATTGTTTTCGTTATACTGCCATCTATCATACTATAAGATAATTCTTTCGTCTATGAAACTCGCCCACCCCTTGCATGAAGACAATAATTCGCAACCAGTTTATTTATATACTCTGGCCATTTAGTACTGACCAAAGAAATTTCACAGCAACTTCTAAGTTTTCTTCACCATTCCGCCAACAAAGCAATCAATGTCATGTAGGAAAAACTAAATTGTTAACAGAGTTTCTTAACTGACGTATGAGGGTGACAGTCATAGTTGATCAGTCATATAGTCAGACGCTTCAATATAACAATGTCATCCGTTCAAGAAGAGTAGAGAAAGAAAAAGACCGCGAATGACTGAAGAACCGAAGGACAGGACCGAAGGAATCAACGAGTGTGATAACTATAAACCTCTCTTATCGAATCAGTTGCAAAGTTGTTTGCGCAAATGTTTCGTAGACTTCTCATCAGTGGGTAGACAAATTTAAATGTAATCAGCGTAGGGAGTAACATTGGTTTTATGGAATCGGACAGACAATACTACCAAAATAATCAGACGTTAGGCAGAAAATGTTTACTACCAGGGGGCAAAGGATAATTTGTAGTTAATAAACAACTTTACTTGGAAAAAAGACAAATTGGATATCCAGTCGGGCAATTACAAGCAGGTATTGAATGTGTAAGGGGGCAGGTAGTAGCGCCATCAACGTTATCACAGGAATAATGAATTGGTTGGTGTTTCCTTCGGGGTAGAATCACCAATTCGCAGGGAACGAATATTAGTTGACTAGTCGTATTATTCAATCAATTAGGGTGCTACCCCTGTGAACAGTACAATTTAATATACACAGCCAGCTAAAACATATCCGTTTGAAATGTTTTATTCCACTGTGGTACCTATTCCCGCCAGAAACTGTAACTGTCCGTTCCTCTCCAATACAATCTGGTATAGGCTACATTTTTTCAATTCCCATATTTTTATTTATTTATTTATTTATTTATGTTATTTTTTACTCGCCAGTGTTAAATGGCAACTGGTAGTATCAAATGCATCTTTGTGGACGCGTCGGTGACCATAACATAAACTTGTTTTACTTTTATCGTTATATATTATCATATCTTTCGCTGGGAATACATATATGGAGTAAAGCAGAATGCGTGAGTTATGGAGAATGGAGACACAGTTACGTAGTTTGGTAGAGAGAAAGAAACGTATATTTCTTTGTTGGTAGAGTGCTAGATTTCAAGTCTGTAATTATTTGTTTCCAATATTTATTGCAATTCTGCAAAAAAAAAACAATCCTACTACAGTTGTTGTATGTGAGTTTTGATGACGCAAGTAAAAATGTTCATTGCTTTGCATGGTAGAAACTAGATGATCGTAAATCGGCAAAAGGTTGGCAAAAACAAAAAATAGACAACTTTCTTTGGCATGGCAATAAGAAATAATAAAGATTAGTTCATATAGTTGTATATTGTTGATAAATATAATGATTCACAGTTTTATATTATAAAATT